CCCTCCCTCTTGTCCGGAACTTTACCTCACCAGTCTGAAGCAGCCACCCTGTCCGTAACAAGTCCGGACCTGTTACTAGGGGCTTCGTCCGGATAAATTCCGGAACACGTTATCCGGATGTTTGTATTCAGACAGAAAGGTCTTACGGACAGATTCCGGAACATTTCCGTTTTTCATGGCCTGTCTGAAGGGGACTTCAGAGACTCTCTTGGTCAGCTTGCTTCTCACACCAAACCCTCTGTCAGGAATCTTGGCGTGACCTTTGACCCAGCTGTCACCCTGGATTCTCATGTCAGTTCTCTTGTTGGCTCTTCCTTCTTCCATCTCAGGAACGTTGCTAAGCTGTGTAACGTGATGAAGGAGCCATTTCTACCCTAACAGCTGTTTCCTTTTGACACAGTGTCAGTGTGTCTGAAACAGCCTGAAGGTCATACAGTCGTTTCTAAACTGTTTACATTCCAGCATGAAGACAGAAGAAAGAAGAATGAATTCTTTCCTTTTGATTAATCAAAGAACTCTATTTTAATAAAGCTAATCCATCAAAGTGTTAGTCAATATAACAAGATGTGACCGACCTGTTAAATTAAAATATTAATTATTTTATTATGATCTTAGAAATGAAGTAATGTAACTTTAAATGGTTCAACAGGACTCATTTCACGTAGTGTTAAAAGGACTTGACACATTTTTTCACTGATCCAATCAGAATCTTACAGATCTGACGGAGGCGTGCTTCTGACGGTGTTTGGTAATTTTCATTCAACAATAAACCAAAACATCCGAGGTATAAAACAGATGCCACGTCAGCTCTAATGCAGTTCAAAGTGTTCCAGAGCAAAATGACGGAGTGGCCAATCCTGAACTTTAACTCTTCAACCGAAAGAACCACGACAAGCTGAGAAAATCCAGTCGCTATAACAACAAGCAACGACAACAGCTCCTTTCAGAATAAAGCCGGGCGTACACTGTGCGACTTTTTCACTTTTTTGAGCCGATTTTCCAGTCGTGCGAGTTTTGCGCCGAGCGGTCGTGTAGTGTACAGGGGGTATCGAGGGGCGATTAACACCACGTGACCAGCCGCCGATCAGCAGTCGTGAGGTCGCAGGGACTTCTGGTGTGTTTAATATTTCGCTCGTCCCTCGTGAGGGTATTGCACTGTTGAAGCGGCGCTGCGAGCAGCTGCGAGCAGCTACGATCCAAAAAAGTATCAGAACCGCTCACGGCGCATGCGCGCGCAATCCTGCATCAACGCCGGTCGCTCGCTATTTCCCTAATAACACACGCTGTTCATTTTTGTTTCTACACGTTTTTTTACTCACAAAGATTGTCAAGAAAGCATGTTTGTCGTGTTCATGTCAAATTAAACTGATCACAAAACACAGATTCACTTTCTTTATTTCGTTTTCTTCATCCAAACCCCATAAATCCCTGTGTGTCCTCCTGCAGCACTCCCGAAGGACAACAGGCAAGACAAAAAAGTCTGACGTGTTGAGTAAAAACTGCTATTTTTAGCACATTTTTAGGGCCGACGTGTTGCTACCAGACGTACAGTGTGAGCAGTCAGGTCGCATGTGAGAACTGGGTCGTACAGTGTGAGCGCATGGCTCATGAGATCTGCCCTGCGAGGAAGTCGTACAGTTTGAGCTGAAGCTGAACGCTGCGAGTGAAAAAGTCGCACAGTGTACGCCCGGCTTAAGAGCTCCACTGACCCAGGCTGGGTCTGAACAGACGCCAAGACAAGAGTCGTGTGCCGGCAGTATCTCGAGACGGGTCTGGTCGGAACTAGGGATGCATCGATCCACATTTTTTCACTTCCGATTCCGGTACCTGAATTTGGATATCTACCGATACCGATATTGTTTCGATGCTAGAGGAATATTTGTTTTAATGTCATTATGAGTATTATTATGGTTGATTTTATAAGGCTATAATAAACTCTTTTATACAAGAATAATATGTAATTGTGAGAAAGCCCTACAAGTAAGAGCCCAGCACCATGTCCCAAAAGATAAGTTGAGATAAGTGAGGTCATAAAACAACTAATTGTCTATCCTAAAAAAAAGCAACTAATGTTTCAAATTGAAATTTATTCAATTTCAAGGCAGGGTTACTGGACACAAGTGCAATATGCACAATCAAAGAAACAAACCCTTTCATTTGAACTAAACAGCCCAGGTCCAAATAATCACACTAGGCAGTAACACATTTTTAAAGTGTCAAACATGAAATGAAAAGGGTAAACTTCCATAAAACTACTTCAAATAAAGTAGAGGGCTGCTTTATCCAATCCCCACAAATTAAGTTCACAGTCTTTTGTAGCATCAAAAATGTAATTTTCAAGTAAAAAATCACACTATCAAAAAAAGTGCATCTGAAACTAATTCAGTAAGTCCTTGCTCATGTAGCAGTAAAAAAAACTAAAGTTTTCAAATGTTAAACATTTTGAATTAAAGAAAAGTGCATTGTAAACAAACATCAACAGTGTGCATCTGAAAAGTACAATTCAAGCGTTGGAGATTTGGCATTGAAGGTGACTTAGATAAAGTTAACAGTCTGTCAGAGTCCGGAACTATTCTTGGAAAAATAAAATAAAATGTAAATGCGTGAGGTACTTAAATGTTGTTCATCTAATCTCACTTAAACAATGACAGGTTCTTTCTGAGGAATATAAGCATTTCTGCTCTTTCTGCTGTCAGACGATTCCTTTTTTCATCCACAATATTGGATGCTGTACTAAACAGTCTTTCACTTTCAACACTCGTTGAAGGAGCACTCAGGAACTTTACTGCAACAGCAGCAAGGAGAGGAAAGCGGGCATGGTTGTCTGCCCAGTACTGGAAAGGGCTGTCTAGCTCACCCATTGTTGGTTCTTTCAAGTACATTTGCATCTGGATAACTGCTGCCTGGGTACCTTGTGCAGGTTCATCATGTTCCTCCAGAATTTTGTCATACAGACTGCTAAAGCTACTCTTACTTGTGGTAGGAGAACTAGCATCCACGTGAGCAACCTTTTCTGCTGGCTCTGGTTCTGGCTTCCTTGTCCCTGCTTTGTCAGCTGATGCCTTGGCCAGCGCTCGCTCCATCTCTTGCTTGAGGAGATTCTTTGCCATCCTGGCAGCTTCTCCCCCAGTAAAGAATCTGACACAAAAAACAAAATGGGTTGAGTACAACTTTATTTGTTGCTGCTGCAAGAGCCTGGCCTGCCTGCCAGACCCATAGAGATAATACACATTATATTTAAACTTAGACAATATTAATAATTAATGCATTAATAAAATATGCCTCACCTGTCCTTGTAACGAGCATCCAGTAGAGTCGCAACAGCGTAGAGGGATTTACTTTCGATGCTGCTGAATCGCCTGTTGACAGCTTGGAGGAGTGTGCTCTTCGTTGTTTTGATGCCGCTGTCGGTACTGTTCTCATCTGCTAGCAGACGTTTTAAAACAGCGACGGCTGGGATAACGTCGGCTGCAGTGGAGGTCGCTGAGCTGATTTTCCTCGTCAACTCCTCGAACGGTTCCAGCACGGTCACAGTTTTTTCCAGTAAACCCCACTCGTTGGCTGATAAAGTTGCGGGTAAGTTGTAGTCGGCAGCATAAGCGCAGAGAGCTCGCTTCTCAGTCAGAAGGCGCTTGACCATGTAGAAAGAGCTATTCCATCTTGTCTGGACGTCTTGAACGAGACGAGCTGGAGTGGATGTGGTTCCCGCTCCCTGCATTTCACGCTGCAGGTCTTCCAAGCGAGACTGCGCCAGTTGGGAATGCTTGAAATGTGCGACAATCTTTCGGCTGTTTGCTAATGCATCGCTAACACTGCGTTGCAACATCAGCCCTTCATGCACTACAAGCTGCAGCGTGTGAGCAAAACATCCCAGGCTAGGAACTGCCATGTCTTCCAAAGTGGCTTTCACGTTACTTGCGTTGTCCCGTAGAATGACGTGCACCTTTTCCAGAGGAATCCCCCAGTTATTTAGCATCTCGGCAATGGCGGCTGCGATTGTAGCTCGGTTGTGTGAACCCCGCACTTTTTGACCTGAAGCACCGCGCAACAGAAGTGATGTGTCCCGGAGTCAACCCAGTGCTCTGTAAGACTTATCAGTGACATTGGGAGGACATCTGAAGTCCAAATATCTGTAGTGAAGCTCCGGGCTGGAACTCCTTTCAGCTTCCCGGCTAACTTGGCTGACACTCGGTTGTATAGTTCAGGTAGCGCTGTCTCTGATAAATATGTCCTGGAGGGTAAACTGTACCTTGGCTCCAAGTGTTCAATCAGGCTGCGAAATCCCTCATTTTCCACCACTGATAGCGGTTGGTCATCAAGTACAATGAAGTTGAGCAGCTTTTCTGTAATCCCCATGGCTTTAACATTGTCTGCGGGGAGTTTACTTTGCTTCTTGAATGACTCCAGTAGTGATTCTTGGTGTCGCTTTTCTCCTTTCTGCCACCTCGTTAAAAACTTGTCGTGCTCCCTCGGGTGGTGTTTTTTCAAATGTTTGATTAAATTAGTAGTGTTGAAAGTTGCGACGGAGGTTCTTGCTTTGCGGAGCTTCCAGAATAAAATATTTCCACACAGCGGACATTTTGTGGATAAAAGTTTGGCGCTGCTCATGCTAGCCAGCTACCTGTAAACTGCGGTGAGTGGACTTCCTGAAAGGAGCCGCATCATCTGGGCACAGAGGACGCCTCCCAGCCCGGGATGTCTTATTTAGACATTACACAAGAGATAATTCTGGATCGGAAATTTGTGCAGATTGTGTCGGAATTTTCCGATCCGTGATTTAAGTCCAAATCGGAGCCCGATTCCGATACTGGATCAGATCTGCCCAATCCCTAGTCGGAACCGCAGCTCTGCTACCAGCTCGGTGTCCAGAGAGGGTCCGGGTGGACCTCGGCATTCCTGATCTCACAGAGGACTTCCACCAGGCAGGTAGGAGCGGCTTAATGGTGTCTCATGCAGTTCTGAAACGAACCCCAGCTTATTCCAAACCAACATCTTCAGTTCCCGTCAGAACTAATCGCTTCTTTGGATTTGCAGATTCTGATTTACATGACACGTCATCCATTCACCGCCTCATCCATTTTTAGTCGCACTATACACTTAGTTCTTAAATAAGCCTAGTTTAATTGTTAGTAATAAAATTTCTTAACTTTTAAACTTGACTCGTTCTATTCTGTTGTCTCTGAGTGAATACATAACGGTTACATGATCTCTGCATTAAAAAGACCCGATCTTCTGGTTTAACCAACCCCGATCCATGAGGCGGATTTCATATTTCCTATGGAATCCCACGCCTTACGGCTCATTAATTAAAATGTAAGAACCTCATTTTTCCCTTACAGCTGAGTCCCATTCTGTCCCGCTCTGAACTTGAGACTGTTCTCCACACCTTCATCTCTTCACGCTTAGACTACTGTAACTCTCTTTTCACGTGTCTGAGCAGAACCTCCCTGAACCGTCTACAGGTGGTTCAGAACGCCTGTGCTCGGCTTCTGACCAAGTCCTCCAAACACACCCACATCACCCCGATTCATGAAAAAAACACTAAAACTGAGTTATTTTCTAGAAAAGACTTTTTTTTTTGCCTGGGGTGTTTAGTACAAATCAGTTTTGATTATGTTATGAAATATCTAAACTTGAGATTTTTTTGCATTTATAGTTTTTACATAGCAACAGATTTAAAATTTACTATACACTCGAGCCATTAGAGGACAAAAACGTCCCATTGACTTTAATGCACACCACAGTTTTTGATCCTGTATCATCTGCAACAAATAATCATGCTTTCTGTGATGTTATGGTTTCATTTTGGACAAAAGTAGAATTCAGTCATGTCTCCATATGTTGCCCAGGCGAGAAAGTTTACACATTTCTTTAGATCTTCTGCTGTTTTTATTGAAGTCAAAAGGCCAACCTGACCTCTGATAAGTAAATAAAACACAGTTTGACTCTCCTACTGAACTTCAAAGTGTAGAAAACAAAAACAATTAGTATGTTTATGCACCTGCCACATTCAAACTCCTTGTAGTCTGGTTATCTGGTCATTTCACTTCTGTGAAAGCCACGGAGCTAAATGAAGAGGCATCTCTCTGTGGAACAAGTTCTGGATCAGCTCCTGCAGCCTGATACTCCTGGAGAAAATGAGGAGAGTGAAACATCTTCAGTGGACTTTGAGGTGGAGTCAGACCATTCTGTTTCCTTGACTTCTTCTCCTGACCTGTCCAGTGAAAGAGAAGGGAGGACAACGGATCCTGCTCCAGGATGGATTTCTAAAAGTGGGCAAGTCTGGTTTCCTACTAACACAGAAACTTCCCACTATGTTCCTGCTGCAAGATGTTTGAATCCTGGGCCAACACGTTACACCATCACACGTATTTACGATGTGGTATCCTCCTTTGATTTATTCTTCACTCCAGAAATGACTGAAATCATCGTCAACATGACAAATCTAAATGGAAGACGTGTGGTGAAGAACTGGTGGGATATTGATGACATCGCAGTGAGAGCATACATTGGGCTCCTGATTTTGGCTGGTGTGTACCAGTCCAAAGGGGAATCCACCTGCAGCCTTTGGGATGACCACTGTGGACGTGCAATCTTCCTGGCCACCATGAGTCACACCAAATTCAAGATGATCAACTCCACCCTCCGGTTTGATGATGAGCTGAACAGGCCTTCCCGTCTCAGGCAGGACAAGCTGGACCCTATCCGCTCGATTTGGGACATGTGGACCCATCGCCTCCAAATGCTTTTCAACACTGGGTTAGATGTGTGTGCTGATGAGCAGCTTGTCCCTTTCAGAGGCAGGTGCAAGTTTCGCCAACATATGCCAAGTAAACCAGCAAAGTACGGATTGAAACTCTGGGTCACTGCTGATGTTGCCACTTCCTATGCCTGCAAGTGTCAGGTTAACACAGGGAAAGCTGCTGGTGAGGCTGCAGAGGTCGGCCAGGGAAAACGTGTCATTTTGGAGATGACCGAAGAGCTCCAAGGAGTCACTTCACATGCATGCATTCACACTTCTGCCCTTTCATAACAAACTGAACTACAAAGAGTTTGGATGTGCCTGAGCTCCAGCCAGGTGCATAAACATATTGTTTTTGTTTTCTACCCTTTGATGTTCAGTAGGAGAGTGAAACTGTGTTTTGTTTACATGCTGAGCTTCTGACTTCAATAAAAACAGCAGAAGATTTATAGAAATGTGTAAACTTTCTCGCCTGGGCAACATATGAAGAAATGACTGAATTTGGTGGTGAACAGTAAAAATCATAAATTTGACCACTTTTGTCCAAAATGAAACCATTACATCACAGAAAGCATGAATATTTGCTGCAGATAATGCAGGATCAAAAACTGTGGTTTGCATTGAAGTCAATGGGACGTTTTTGTCCATAACAGGCACAAGAGGGTGGTAAATTTTAAATCTGCTGCTACACAAAAACGAAAAAAGCATAAAATGTGATATTTTGCCAGACTTGACATATCCAAGGCTAATTCCATGCTGTCGTTCTTTTTAAAACACAGAAACGGTTTCGTTACCTGTTTTTTTAGAAAATAACTCTGTGCTGTTTTTTTTTTTTTTTTTTTCTTCATAAATTACATCAATGACTTTTGAGTATTCAAACTGGCATTTCATGGGTTAAAAGCTTCAAAATGATTGAATTTTTTTATGTTTCAGCAGGGCTGAAGTTGTTCAACAGATCTATGAAAAAAAAAGTAAAACAAAAAAAAACATTAATGTATACATTTTTATAGCCACTTTTACAAGCGAACGTTTTTGTATGAAAATTAAAGTGAAGCCTGAGGGTTAAGGCTCATATGATTTATAGAGGCTCAAAGTTCAGTTTCCAGTTGTAAATACATTTCATTCTAGGGATGCACCGATCAGGTTTTTTGCTGCCGATCACCGATACCGATATCAAAGAATGCTGATCACCGATACCGATCACCGATACCGATCACGTGGATTGGCCAGAAATTTTCTACAACATTATAATGAGTGCTACAAACTACATAATCTGGGAATAAAGGAAATGTAACCTAATCTAAAATGGTCTGTATTAGGGTTGTCATGGTGTGAAAATTTAACCTCACTGTTATTGTGACCAAAATTACCACGGTTTTCGGTATTATCACGGTATTTTTTTTAAACGTGCTACATTTTCACACAATTAAATAAACCCTGTATGTCAGGAAATATTGTCCTCAGTTTGTGTCTAAATTTTGCCTAAAATGTGTTATTTTGTAATTATGTTGTTCATTTGTTTACATTTTTCCCCTTTAGCCTTTAAAATACCAATATTTGTCCATAACTTCTTATTTTATGTCTGTTTGATGTCATCATTTAAAAATATTAGATCAGATGATACTTAGTACTCAAGTAGCCTTCTAATCAGATACTTTTTTACCCTTACTTGAGTAATAATCCCTATATCAGGAGAATATTGTCCTCGGTTTGGGTCCTTCCAGTGAGCTTTGCAGATGTGGGAAAATGTCATCAGGCAGTAATCGTTGTTAAATTCATAATTATTCTCGGAGAGAGACCAACTCTTATCTGCCCCTGGGAGCCCCGTAATGCATAGCGTCATTTCAACATGGGGGTGTCCGCGACACGGTTTATATGCAGGTAGCGGCGCTGCGGCTGCTTTATATAGCGACTCGTTGCGTTCTCCCTCAACCCAAAGCCTCGGATCACGCATTTTAGCTAAAACGCTAACGTTAACTTGCCTTGCGTTGACTGTAGAGTTGTGGGTGATGGTCACGCAGATGTGTCATGAGATCTGAAGCGTTGCTGCCTTTCACAGACACTTTTTCTGCTCGCGCTGCAAACAGGATAGCCGTCCGTCCGTCTTCTATAAACTCCCTTGGCATTCTTCAAATATCTAAAATATGCCCGTACTTCCGACTTTGTCTTCTTTGAGGGATAATAAATGTCCTCCTGAGCGCTGCCGTCTCCTCCTTTGACCATTATTTCAGCTTTAGCTGCAAGAAAGTTTTGTTGTAAACAAAGCGTGCATGTGCCGCCGGCAACTTCAGCCGATGATACGGTGGCTGGTAAGGGTCACCGCGCCTACACCGCAGCCACGGTAAACCCACCAACATAATATAGTTTTTTTAAAAACAAGACGGTTATTATTATTGTCAACTTTTTTTTTTACCGGGGTTTACCGCTACACTGGTTACCGTGACAACCCTACCTGATCGGTTTGCTTTGATCTATTTTGAAAATTCCGATCAAAACCGATAGGGGCGCTATCGGCCGATTACGATCAAATGCCGATCCATCGGTGCATCCCTATTTCATTCTACTGTCAGTTTAAAGAAATAATACAACTGTTATATGTGTGAAAACACAGTTACAGCTGTCTGTAATTCACATAATATGTTTCTGTGTTTTCTACAGATTTTCAACAGGTGGTTCTGGTTAAATAAGAAGCTTCAGAAGAACAGAGTGCTCGTGTCAACCACCAGCACCTAGATTTTCTCCACAAAAAGGAGGAACAGGAGAAACTCTGGTCTAGTATGGAGGGAGAGCATCTCCATTTGAATAAGGAGACTGATGCTGCCAGGCTTCAATCCTTTAGCCAAAAAACACATTTAAACAAACACAAGAGAGTCCAGACAAAGCAGAAGAATTTTGCCTGTGAGCACTGTGGACAAAGGTTTCACCAAAAGACTAATTTAACCACACACATGAGCGTCCACACAGGAGAGAAGCCTTTTGCTTGTGAGCTCTGTGGAACGAGATTTAGCCAAAAGACAACTTTAAACGGTCACATGAGAGTCCACACTGGAGATAAGCCCTTTCCTTGTGAGCTCTGTGGACAAAGATTTAGCCGAAAGTCAACTTTAAACAGTCACATGAGAGTCCACACTGGAGATAAGCCCTTTCCTTGTGAACTCTGTGGAACGAGATTTAGCCAAAAGGAACATTTAAACAGTCACATGAGAGTCCACACTGGAGATAAGCCCTTTCCTTGTGAACTCTGTGGAACGAGATTTAGCCGAAAGACACATTTAAACCGTCACATGAGAGTCCACACAGGAGAGAAATCTTTTGTCTGTGAGCTCTGTGGTAATAGATTTAGTGAAAAGGGAAGTTTAAACACACACATGAGAGTCCACACTGGACAGAAGCCTTTTGCTTGTGGGCTCTGTGGAACAAGATTTAGCGGAAAGTCAACTTTAAACAGTCACATGAGAGTCCACACTGGAGAGAAGCCTTTCGCCTGTGAGCTCTGTGGTAATAGATTTAGTGAAAAGGGAAGTTTAAACACACACATGAGAGTCCACACTGGACAGAAGCCTTTTGCTTGTGAGCTCTGTGGTAATAGATTTAGTGAAAAGGGAAGTTTAAACAAACACATGAAAGTCCACACAGGAGAGAAGCCATTCGCCTGTGAGCTCTGTGGTAATAGATTTAGTGAAAAGGGAAGTTTAAACAAACACATGAGAGTCCACACTGGAGAGAAGCCTTTTGCTTGTGAGCTCTGTGGACAAAGATTTAGCCAAAAGTCAACTTTAAACAGTCACATGAGAGTTCACACTGAAGAGAAGCCTTTCGCCTGTGAGCTCTGTGTTAATAGATTTAGTGAAAAGGGAAATTTAAACAAACACATGAGAGTCCACACTGGAGAGAAGCCTTTCGCCTGTGAGCTCTGTGTTAATAGATTTAGTGAAAAGGGAAGTTTAAACAAACACATGAGAGTCCACACTGGAGAGAAGCCCTTTCCTTGTGAGCTTTGTGAAAAGAAATTTAGCTTAAAGTCAAATTTAAACAGTCACATGAGAGTCCACACTGGACAGAAGCCTTTTGCTTGTGAGCTCTGTGTAAAAAGATTTAGCCAAAAGACACATTTAAACAAACACATGAGAGTCCACACTGGAGAGAAGCCTTTCGCCTGTGAGCTCTGTGGTAATAGATTTAGTGAAAAGGGAAGTTTAAACAAACACATGAGAGTCCACACTGGAGAGAAGCCCTTTCCTTGTGAGCTTTGTGAAAAGAAATTTAGCTTAAAGTCAAATTTAAACAGTCACATGAGAGTCCACACTGGACAGAAGCCTTTCGCCTGTGAGCTCTGTGTAAAAAGATTTAGCCAAAAGACACATTTAAACAAACACATGAGAGTCCACACTGGCTTTTCGCCTGTGAGTTCGGTGGAAAAGATTTAACCCAAAAGATCAGTTTAAACGGTCACAAAAGAGTCCATAAAGGACAGAAGCCTTTTGCTTGTGAGCTCTGTGGACGAAGGTTTAGCTGAAATAAAACTTTAAACAATCATCTAAGCATCCACTAGGGCTGAACGATCTATTGCAGGGGTCTCCAACCTTTTTTGGCCCGTGAGCTACTTTTACACAATGAAGTACAGCAGAGTTACTGCCATATGATTTATTTACATTGATACTTTCCATGTGTGAATGTGCTTATGTTAAACATGCTATGCTTACTGTATTAACATGCATTGTACTCACAAGTTGATTTCTCTGTATTTCAGTACATCAGTATATATATTAAAAGTATAAGTAAACTAGTGACATTCTGAAAACCAAATTAAACAAAACATATTTAGTTTTTTAAACTAATCGGATACTTTCAGATAATGAATAACAAATCTACTTCATGTGAATGATTTGGTCATTTTTTTTAGAAGTTAAGTAACATACCCTAAATCCTCTAATACAGGCCTGTATTCATTTAACGGCCGGGTCTCATATTTTGGCCGGTGTCGGAGTCGGCGGAGGTGAATAATGGCTGGTCTCTTATTGTGGCCGGGTGGAATGTGGTAACAAGCAAGTACGGGGGCGGTTGTGTCATCGTCTCACTTTTGATTTGCCAGTGATAGACCGCGAGGGTAACTTTAACCGTGCGGAGACGAAGAGGAGGCGAAAATTTGATATCAAGTTCAAAGAGAACATGCGCTGCAGAACACTGGGGAGCAATAGGGGTTGTATGAACTAGTCGACTTCACTATAGTGACTTTTTATGTCTGTCATTGACTAGTCGCTGTCACGTGATAATGACCGGCAAGATGCAGCCCTCGGAAAAGACAGCAGCCTGCTGTCAGCAGGTGACAAGCTCCTGCTTTCTGGGGGGGCAACGCGCTGTGCCAGAGCGTCAGTACTGACACGCGATCGTGGGTTTCGCTGCTGTGGAGCGGGGCGCATCACCTTGTCCTCCGGTGACGCACCGATCACTGATGCGGCCGCCAAGCAGGGAGCACTCCGCTGTTTTTGCAGTCGGTAGATCTGCGTCCTGAGCACGGCCACAGTAACGTTATCAAATCAGGTGTCGCCACCTCAAAAACTAATTTAACACGCGATCGTTCATGTCGGTTCATTTCCATTAATGTTTTCTGGTAGATCTTTTAGAACTGCAGTTCAAAGGTAACTCATAAGGTGAATATATATGAACCCAGTTAGCAGTTTCTCTTTAGGATTGAGAGGAGATGCAGGAAGATGATAAACAGGCAGGACAGAAACATAGTCAAATAAAAACAAGTTAGTTTTTATACCTGGTTGCAACAAACAGACACCATTGAAGGTAATCAGAAGTGAGGAACAGAAAATGAAATAATTATTTTAATGTTTAGAGCAGCAGGAACTCCGAGAGGCTGCAAGCGCGTCAGTGAGTTTGCGTCCGCTGCGCAGGGGGAGGGGGGAGAGGGCTGAAGCAGAAACTACCATTGTTAAAAGAAATGTGTTTAACTTTGAAAATGTGAGCGCAATTTTAATTGTCAAAAACTCCAGCGAACCATTAGTTCATTTTGCTCAAATAGAAATAGAGGCCTGCCTCTAATACTGGCCCTCCTTCCAATAAAGGCCTGGAGCTTGATGAGCTTGAGTCAAATACAGGCCTGGGCCTGTATTAGAGGATTTACAGTAACTTTTTAAGCGCACAGGAACAGCTAACCTGTAAAGCTGATGATATTTTAAATAAAATACAAGCTAAATGTGATGAAAACACAAAAGTCTAAATAGTTTGAATTGAAGTAAAAATTTAAAATCAGAAATAAGACTTGTTCCTGCTCTCCTGATGTACTGAATAATTTTTATGGGGTTTTTTTTTTTTGGTCATGAAAGTTAAGTTTTGCTGCGTTTATTGCTGACAGTATGAAGGTTGGAGGTTTATCCTTTTTTCTGCATCTTGTAGTTTTTTTTCTCCGCACGTCTCTAAATAAAGTAAAATTTTCTAGTGCAGAGTGGAGACAACCCATAGAAGCACTGATTTGATCTCATTTCAGAGAAAAATATAACAGGTTAGATGCACCTAATAAATAAAATTATAACAAACTCAGGAATCTGTTTCTTTTCTTCACTGTTCAGGTGCTGAGAATATCACTAATGCGGATCAAAGGAGATCCACAAATGAATGCACCTCTTAGTAGGGCTGCTCGATTATGGCAAAAATAATAATCACGATTATTGTGACTGAAATTGAGATCACGATTATTTAGGACGATTTTTCTATTCATGTTGATTTTATTTGTTTTTATTCAGTCATAAAATTGTTCAGGGCACAATCAGGACAAAAAGAAATAAGAAACAAGATGATCACTATAATAACTCCTGATTCCCAGTATAAAAAGACCAATATACCAACACATTCTCACACCCTAAGCGTCGGAAACAAACGCTTGGTCAGCCACCCTCCACGTCAGACCCCAGACGCCAAAAGTGCCCTTTTTCGTTACTTATGTGCGAAAAGGGGGTTTTCCCTGCATATCCCAATGCAGCGTAAAACTGACGTGATTAGATGTCCGCTGATGCGGCACCGAACCAGCTCATTTAACCGCACCTAAACCTTAACGTTTCACTATTTATAACCTTCCCCTCTCCCTCATCCTAACCTTAACCCTCATTTAACCGATGCGGCACCGAACCAGCTTGTTTAACCGCACCTAAACGTTAAATGCGGCACCGGACCAGCTCCGCACCGAACCAGCTCGTTTAACCGCACCTAAACCTTAACGTTTCACTATTTATAACCTTCCCCTCACCCTCATCCTAACCTTAACCCTCATTTAACCGATGCGGCACCGAACCAGCTCGTTTAACCGCACCTATACGTTAAATGCGGCACCGGACCAGCTCCGCACCGAACCAGCTCATTGAACCTCACCTAAACCTTAACGTTTCACTATTTATAACCTTCCCCTCTCCCTCAACCTAACCTTAACCCTCTTGCTACCTAAAACGTTACTCTCACTGTGATCAAGCGTTTGTTTCATATGCATTCTGTCTCTGACTGACAGTCAGTTTTCGTATTTGCCGCCCAACGGGAACGTTAGAACATACCATCTGGCGAGGGGGAGGGTACACATACCCTCTACTTTAAACCTCCACCGTGGTAGTTGAAACCTCCCCCTCGCGTTGGCTTGGTCCAAACTCGACCAATGACGAGGCGGCTCCTGCCGTTCACTTTTACAGCCGTTCACAGCCGGCTTTTAGAGCGATCGACACATCACTAACGCGTTCGCTAGCAAGATGGTTAAGGTTAGGATAGGGGTGAGGGGAAGGTTAAATAAGAAGATAAGGTTAAATAAGAGGATAAGGTTAAGGTGATGTACAATGAGCTTGTTTGGTGCCCTGGCTGCGGACATCCAATCACGTCAGTTTTACACTGCATTGGGATCTGCAGTCAAATAAGGGAAAAAACCCTTTTCGCACATAACGAAAAAGGGCACTTTGGGCATCAGGGGTCTGACGTGGATGGTGGCTGACCAAGCGTTTGTTTTTGACGCGCTGTGAGTGAGAATGTGTTGAATATACTTATAGCTCATAGTTTATGACCCAAGGGCTATAGACCTTGGTTTAACTCATGTAAGTTTAACCAGTACAGACCCAAAAACCAATATCTTGCAAATACTGACAGCAAGAATTATACAGTGGCATTTATAACAAATAAATGCAAATAAATTGATGTTCACAAAATGATGCATAACATTTATTGAGCCGTGTCAAGGTGCTGTAGGAGAGTGCACTAGCACCGTGTCCTCAGAGAGATTAGTTATTATTTATCAGCGTGAGGAACTTATTTCTACCTTATTTATAAACTATGTATTTACAAGTAAATCAGTTAATGTAATAAATGTCCCAACCACAGCTGCACCCCCCACCCCCAACCCGGTCTCACAGCAATCAGGACAAGCTGCACGTATGTTTAGCACGCCGCACGCGCACATTTAGCCGTTTTTAGCGGCTCAGGAGTCCGCAGGTACGGTGTGTGTCACTCACTCTGGTTAATCGAACAGGGAGCCGGCTCCGAGAGCTGTTTCTTTAGCGACTGACACATCACTGCATCATTCCCTTTCAGGGTCCGAAATTAAATTTTTTACTCACCGGCCAAGTTGGCTGGTAGATGATGAAAATCTACCGGCCAAGCATATTTTTTACCGGCCAAAATTCTAAATGATTTAGATCTACCTAAAGCATGTAATTCTATATAATGTTGATTCCAAACAGAGTGACAAAATAATTAAAACATCAATTAATAAGAAAAACAACTCTTTTGTCATTTTTACTATTTATTTATTTTTAGAGATGTTTTCATGAACTCTTTCATTGAAATCTAGTCAGACTCCTTGTTTTTTCTGTCCATGAAGTCTGGCCTCCTGCTTCTGACACCGTCTGTGGGCCAAAGCATTACAGCCTCATTTGGGTCATAGTCCTTGATCTCTGGAGAACACAGCTGCACCATGAGAATATCTGAAAGTCACGGTAACCGGTGTAGCGGTAAACCCCGGTAAAGAAGTTTACAATAATAATTACCGTCTTGTTTAAAAAAAAATTATTTCAGTGGATTACCGTGGCTGCGGTGTAGGCGCGGTGACCCTTACCAGCCACCGTATCATCTGCTGGAAGTTGCCGGCGGCACATGCGCACTTTGTTGTTTACGACCAAAACTTTCTTTCAGCTAAAGCTGAAATAATGGCCAGAGGAGACTGTAGAACTTGGGACATTTATTATCCCTCAAAGAAGACAAAGTGGGAAGTATGGGCATTTATTGGACATTTGAAGAATGCAGAGGGACAGTTGTCTGTGAAAGGCAGCAACGCTACGTGGCCATCATAATGTAGCCATTGTCTCACGACTCCGCCATCTCCGGTTCGCCACTTTTCACAAAATCTTCTGGTTGCCACTGGTCCTGGTGGTTTTTCTTCCAGCTCGACGAGTTTTCTTTTGGAAGGCTGGCTGACTCCAGTTAAAAACCGCCACATTTCACTGCTAGTTTTAACACGAAGCTAACTGCTAACTTGATAAACTGATTGAATGGGATAGGTGGAAATGACGTTGGATGCTGCGTTCACGTATCGCGTACGTTTGTGTACGTTGCATGCAGGCGGGAGGAGTATCACAAATCCATGGAAGATGACTGATAAACATAACTAATTTGGTGCAAACATTTACTCGCCAGGTGGCAGGTAGAGCAAAAAAATGTACTCGCCAAATGGAGCAATTTACTCGCATTTGGCGAGTGTTAATTTCGGACCCTGTTCCCTTTCCTAATGTCCTGAAGAACGGTCCGGAGCGCAGGCGGAGAGTTTAGCTAACCTGCAGGAAACATTGACGACAGTTATCCAGAAAGTAGCTAAGGGTTACCAGAGATGTTGCTGAGGTGTTCGTTAGGTACTTTTAAGATTTAAAAAGTCAAGAAGGGGGTCTGAGAAGCTGTTAGAAATAGCGTCAAAGTCGCCAAGTTGGCAACACCCTAGGAGGAGCGCTTCATCTGCAACTCAGGGCAGCGCAAGTGGGAGGAGCAAATAATCGGCTTGTTTTGTTTTTTATAATCTTTCAAAACTCAGATCGAAATCGTGATTAAAATTTGATTAATTGAGCAGCCCTACCTCTTAGTTATTATTTGGAGACTACATTTACTGTAGCTGGCAGAGGCAGAGATTTTTTCTATTGATACACGGAATTTACAGAATCATTTTAAATTTTAATAGGGGAAGACTGCAGGAGGGAGCGGTAAAATACAGGGGGTCCCCAGCAAAAACAAGAAACTTTACGAGTCTGATGAAAACCGCTGGTTTTCCATCAGGCAGTCACGGGGCAGCTCCAACGACCCAGTGGCTGTGCTGGGTCAATGTTATCGAGCTTAGTCCGGCTCGGCTGTGAGCGAGCTGAGGCGACGTCGTGCTCTGCTTAAGAAGAGGTGTTATTTTCCCGCTTCAGAAGAAGCGTTCAACGTGTTTTTACGCTTTCTCCGAGACTTGTTATGTCGCTAAGTTGTTAGCGCCGCGCGCTAACACGTCAATAGTGCAGCGTAGCCTGCTGGAGGTTTTAAGGGTTCAGATGAAAACACCCGACCTCTCAGGCTGCTCACACATCGATCTTAAGTTGCCACTGTTGCGCTCACATCGTAATACAGTATTAGATGCGGTTAAAGTCAGACATAAAAAAATAAATACATTTTACATGAATAAGTGATGATTATCCTGGTGGGGAGAGGAAATCCTGTCAAGATCGTCAACGCTCGTTTATCTTAATGCTATTGAAACATGTAAACCAAAAAGCATTATATCCACTGCTACCTTTATGCTGTAACTTCACCCTGCCCTGCCTGCTCCTCCTTGCTGCCTGCCAGCTGTGATCACAAGCGACAACATAGTAGTTCCCGCTGCTCCCTCGTGAAACAGATAAAAAAAATCAAAACTTGGGATCTTGTAGGCGTGGCGATTGGATTTCAGCCGTGGCGGGCCGCCACGGCTACGCCTATGTAAGGGAAACCCTGGTGCAGTTACTGTGTAAAGCAGTATTTACGAGGAATGATTAATAAAAATAAAAACTAGAATTGAACCTGAGTTACATAGTAATAACAATTTAAGACCTCAGAAACAATAATATACTAACTTACAAAGTAATTACCATGTAAGTACTAAGTAATTAGAGGACTGTAAAAGAAAGCGCTACCAATAATTGTACTTAATATGCTTTTATTTTTGTGTGCTATGTTCTGTGTCAATATTCTTTGATTTTATTTTACACAACATGATGTGACATTTTAACTATTTCATTTCACTTGTGATTGTTTTAACTATGTGAAGCACATTGGGCTACCGTTTTGTGTATGAAATGGGCTATATAATAAACTTGACTTGAGAGAGAGTTCACAATCATGTTTTGTTACTAAATGAGACACTCAGCTGAAACTGGGAGAAATATATGATGAATCTAAATCACAGGAGATGTCCAGAGTTTTTAAAGCCTGTGTTCATCATGTTGTGGGGACCACAAAGAGGCTACACTCACACCCAGTTCTTGGTACCACGGACGTATATATTGACTTGGGACTGTTTGTATGTAAATATTGTTGACTGCTTGGCCGCTTGATCAGAACCAGAAACGTATGTGTAACAGACCATCTGGGTGTTTAAGGGGCCGTATGTGGAGGGCCACACAGAGGCTACGCTCACACCCAGTTCTTTGGACTGTTTGTATGTAGATGTAGCAGGACTGGTTGGTGTCTCAACCAGGTAATCGGCCAGCCTATCACACATATTAATCAAACCAGCCCACCATTAAAACATATTACAGATGATAACAACTCTACTGCTTGTACTATAAGATTAATGCACACAATTTAATTTAAGACATTTAACTGCATGTGTGCGCGTGTGTGTTTGCACTGAATGTGTTTGTGCACATGGTTCACACGTGTGTAGGGTTAATCTACATACTAGAACTAACGCTGTTGCTATCAGCTTTGTTAGATTCTGAGAAAGACAAACAAGTTAACATATGAAGCTTCTATCATATATAAACATCTAGGATATTAATATAATCGATAGAAGTTCATACACCAACGAGCTTGGTTTATATTTAATCTACGGATTAATATTTAATTTAAGATGTTGAAATTAATAGCAAAAGTTTATTTATTAAACAGAAGACTTAATAAGGTTCTTTGCTGATTCAATAACTGAAAATGCACACCATTCTGTGTTTCATTCAAAGAAGAGTCAGGTTTAAAAATTTAAGAATTTATTACTAACAATTTCAAATCTGACAACTTAAAATAGACAATTAATGAATAACAATTTATAAATGTCAAATATGAACAACAATTTTGATATTAAAACTTGTTATTAAAGCAACCCCTGTGTCTGGATGGAAAACTAAGTGGAATGATGAGGTTTGGATGCGTGAATGAAATCTCAGAAGCTTTCTTTCAGAGGGAGAACGCGTTCTGGGTGAAACGTTGGTTTTGCAGCTAACTGATGGTTTCTTAGAGAGAACAACATCGGACGCAATCTGTGTTCTACCTCACCGTTCAGACGACCCTCTGTGTGGATCTGGAGGTCTGGAGGATGTTGTCAGCCTCGGGGGTACTCAGGTCCGGCAGATGACCAAGGGTACCGACTTTCTCTGGTCCTAGAGTTGCCGTGAGGTGCACAGGTAGATGTGGCTTTGCATCCGTGCAGATTCTTAAGGAATCTCGTAGTGTCAGCTGGTTATAGGTGCGTTTATTCAGAGCTATTCTATCGGCGTGACAGAACGCTTAGTGAGGAGTCAGGCGGCCGACCCTTCTCCTCTGGGATACTCTCGTTGCCACGAAGAAGTATCAGCTTGGTTCAAGAACTGAACTTAAGCTGTGGAGCTTTGGTTTTAACAAAACCTCAGAACACGCCCTCTCAGAGACAGGAAGCATGACTATGGAAGACATGTGAGGCAGTTACCTTGAAGTGAGTCCTGCATGAGGTGTAAACACGTGCAAAAGACCTTCTGGTTACTGAACACACATTACTGATTATCATAAATAATAATTATTATTAACCAAAGAATTATAAGTCATTTCATTAGTTAAAAATACATTTATAATGAACCATGATGATCATTTATGATGATTATAGTAAACCTTATAATAAAAGAGTTTATTAAATTATTTGATTAGAGTTGAAGGTCCTTCATCTCGTGATGGAACAGCAAACAGATAAACAGTCAGATTGAAGACGGTGTTATTGTAGACTATTCGGCTCCTGGTGGTTTAATCTGTGGATGGAAGTTACAGCTCGACCCAGCTGTGACCCAGCTGGAAAGTGTGAACTTTGCCCCACAAAATGAGGCCATTCATGATGCTACACGTGCGACCATCAAGAACAAAGTAGAAATTCAGCGAAATAAAGCAAATTGACTACATATTAATTTGGTACAAGTGTGAACCTAGAGCCCCACGACTGTTATTATTTTAGGTACGGAGAGTGATCACGCTAGATCAAACAATGGGCTGAGACAATGTCTTCCTCCAAACTTGAGTTTATTTACACACAATGCATAAAACAAGTTCTTCTGTTACAACCCAACCAGGTCTGGGATCCTGGGAGGGCTAACACAGGTACGTGAGTGCAAAAACATTAAAATAGGGAGCAGTACACCAAATCACATTTGACAAAACAAACATTTTATCAACAAAAAGCGTCCCTCATCGTCGTCGTCTTCCTCCGCTTATCCGGGTCCGGGTCGCGGGGGCAGCATCCCAACTAGGGAGCTCCAGACCGTCCTCTCCCCGGTGTAGCGTTATGAATATGCCATTTCTGCCCTTAACAGCTGCCCTTTGACACAGTGACAGTGTGCATAAATTGCCAAGGTCGTGCGCTTGCTTCTGATGTTTACATTCCAGCAAAGAAGACAGAAGAAGGACGAAGAACGCTTTTCATTAGTTAATCAAAGAACTTTATTTCTAATAAACCTAATCAAAACAACTGCTGGTCAGTAATAATCAGGTGACCGATCTGTGAAATCACAATGTTATGATTTATGTGTTTAATGAATAACAGGACTTTGGGCTAACTGAGCTAGACATCCTGATTCACATAAGGTAAACACATGACACATTGTTCACTCATCCAATCAGAGCTTCCTTTCTGATGCGTGGCAGAGCTCTGTGGTGTTTAGTTAATCTGTCCACTCCGATTCGCTAAGAATCATAAACAACTAAGCTTAATAAAACAGAACAACACCATTTTAGTTTAGTTCAACGCAGTTCAAACCAAGTACTCGACCAGCTCTCAAATCCATCATCGCTAAGTGAAGTACAGACTGGCCAGCTGTATTTTCTACTTTTAAGCTGAGAACTGTCAAGCTGGAAAATTCTGTCGTTTTATCAACAAGATGACAGTTCCATCAGAATAAAAGCTGAACTCTCTGACCCAAAAAGGGGGGTCTCTGCGTGACGCTGAAAACCTGCCGTTGTACCGGGAGACGATCTATAGACTGGTTTGTCGTGCTGCCGACACTGTTTCGCCAGTTCCAGCACCAAGGAGGGTCCGAGGACCTGGCATCCGGATCTAACACGGAAGTCTCTGCACGGTACGTAGATCGGCATAGATAGCGTCTCATGTCTTCCTCCTGAAGTCCATCGTCGGTCAGTTAGGAGCAAACAACATCTCGCACTCAGACTCGCCTCCACCAGATGGAGATTCTGAACTGACACACACACACCAACACTTCAGCATTACATTCATCTGCATCCATCATTAGAGAGTTAGTCCTGGTGATTGTTTCAAATAATTATAAAATAAATATTCTTAAACATCCCATCTCTCTCTCTCTCTCTTCTTGTTTCTAATTCAATACAAGGTGTTTGAATAAAATTCCCTGTAGTAAAAACAACCTCTTTTGATTCTAAGGGCCCGGTCCAAAGATTAATGATCCAGCTCGGGTTGGATCAGTGATATCTCTGGACCTTAATAAAAGTGTAAGAATATACCAATTATATTCCGCTACATTTAATGGCGAGCCTTAGCCAGATATCTACACAGTTTAAAGCACTTTGTGTCGAGTTGAGACATATTGGGACTCTTTGAGCCGTCTGAGTTAGACAAAATAACAACGGACAGGTGTGTCCCGTCTGGAAACTTGTCTCATTCAGATAGTGGTAGACATTTGCTTCACGTAAAGGGGGGTTGGACATTAGTCACCCTCCACAGGAGGCGCTGTTTCATCAAACCACTCTAAGGATGATGTGGCACATAGCGGCCATTTTAGGCCTACCACTGAAGGAGTATTTTACTGTCTTGTACGTTGAATACTGTATGTTTTCTTGTTTGTCGCGTGTGTTTGTGACACTGTGTGCAATTGTTTGTGAAACCGGAGATACTGATATCCCTGTCGGAAATTACTTCCGTCCGGTAGCCGCTTGATCCCCGACTACCGTCCCGGTCAACTCGCTAGCATTGATCCGCTAGCATTCAACCGCTAGCATTAATTCGCTAATAGCTGAAGTTGGACACGGAAGAGCGCCTCTGCACGCCCAGAGTGCGGACGCTAAAGTCCAGAAATTACCACGTCGCTCACGCATGTTTGGTTGCTCGGACGGGTCAGTTTGGACCGTTAAGTCCTGGTCGCTCCAGGCATTCGCTAGCTTAGCCAAAAGTGCTAACTAGTCACCCCAATGAGACATACGGTGGCGCGTACCGACAAACTGTCAAGCCGTTTCGACGCAGCGATTCTGCGTCTCAAAATCCGCTACGCCTTTGAGTACTAGGTACAGTCGTTTGCATTTGCGGCGGTTCTTTAAAACGATCCTGTGTAAAGAATCGGATTTGGCTACGGGGCTAGACGCCGAGTGACGGACAGCGCATGCGCAACAATCCGCCATTTTGAGTGACCCAACTCGTAGCTTGACCGGCCATCTGGGGCAGGTCAAAAGAGAGTGATATTTTTGGCATTACTTAACAGTTTTGGCCTGAAGGTTCATTCGAAAACCACGTTTACCTGTAACTACTTCTGTGATAGGTCTTTTTACTTGAAGATGTCCGCAGAAGAGGGAGAGACCTACACTCACTGGGACTCCAGGTGATTGATGCAGTGGAATCTGTGGTAGGAGAGACAGGCTTAGTGGATCACGGTTATAATATCGGCCTTCGGGGTAACACCGCTGATGAACTGCTATCTTTACTTCAAACTACCATGTCCGGTATCCCCACCACAGGTAAGCCCCTTGGGGGAAAAGCCCGCACAGAGTCGCTAGTAGAGTTTGCGGTACTGTTAGCTCACTTGTGGGAGAGAGAACTGGGTCAGCTGAGTGTGGCTAAGCAGCAGCTAGCCGCGGTCCAAGGCCACTTTTCGGTAGCTCTTGCTGAGAAGGATATGGTGTTGGATGACAGGAATCAGCTGGAACACAAACTGGAACTCTTGGAAGGTGAGAATTTGAGCTTAAAACAGGAGGCAAATGGGCTTAAAGCCGACATAGCGAATCAACGAACGGAAAAGGATTATTTGCAGTCAAAGCTGTCTAGACCGGCAGCACCGAAACACCAATCGCACCTACAAGCTCAAACAACACCACCTCCTCCGGCTGATGCTGTAGGCGCTGCTCCACCGGCGGGTGGAGGCACACCTGCTGGAGTTGGCAGAAGACAACTCCATCAGCCTGGGCTATCTAGCCAATATGGGCCCCCTTCAGCACCTCATTCGGGTTACACGGCTCCTCAGCCGGCACATCTGCTTCCAACAACGGCCCTTTACCTTGGTTACCCTCAACCTGCTGCACCAGTGACCCCTCAACCGGACGTCTACCGGATGGCTCGGTGCGTCAAACGTTTCAGCCCTGCACCGAGTACTTCGTACCCAGTTGATGCGTACCTGAGCGACCTCCGACACCACTTCCAGCGGTGTCCGGGAATGTCCATGGAGGACAAGATCTTTCGGATAAGACTAACCTCTGATGGCGTGGGTTCACTCATTGATCGCAAGCGTAACTTGATTGGGGACAACTACGAAAAGCTGGAAGCTGCGGTTCTGAAAGAGTACACCTACAATTCACAGGAAGCTGGCATACAGCTAGCATTATCAGTCAAGCAGGGTCGTGCTGAAGACCCACATGTCTTCTATCAACGTCTCTTCAACGCATACTTTGGTACGGAATGCAAGGATGGAATGGAGGAGGATAAAGGTTTTAAAGGATTATTCCTCAAAAACCTACATGCCCACTATGGCCCATACATGGGTACAGTGGATCCTAAGACCACACCCATGGATGAGCTCAGACGAATGGTGAGCTGTGCCTTCGTTCGGTTTGGTAAAATCGGTAAGAGTTCAAGCAGTGCATCAGTTATGGCGTTAGAGGACAAGGACGCGCTGCAATTGGAGGGTGCTGCATACAGGGGGTCATGAAACTTCTGGGCATGATGGCTGCAGCCCACGCTATAGTGCTGCTAGGTTTACTGCACACGAGGCGCCTGCAGCGTTGGTTCATCTGCCTCCGGGTACACCCGATACGTCAGAAGAGACATATGTTGAGGGTTCCCCCGTCAGTGGGCGGGGACCTCGCTCACTGAGGGAATCCCTGCATCCTCTCACATGAAGCCACCTACATTCCGGGGGTCCTGAATGTAGCAGCGGACCCCGCGACTCCGACTGGCGTCTGCGTCCCGCACTGATATCACAGATCTGGATAAGGTTCGGGGAACCCTCTGTGGATCTGTTTGCGGCTCGCGAAAACACACAGTGTCGCCTGTGGTTTTCCCTGAGTCCCCGGGACCATCCCCCGCTCGGAGCGGACGCCTTCTCGCACCAGACCTGGCCTCAGACGCTCCTGTATGCATTTCCGTCATTCCCACTGATTCCCTGTCTCCTGGACCGAGTTCGGTCGGAACAGCTCTCGGTAATTCTGGTAGCTCCCAGACGCTTGTCCGCGTCATGGTTTCCGGAACTGCAAGCGCTAGTGTCCGGCTCTCCGTGGAGGGCGGACGCCCTTCTCCAGGCGGATGGGATAATCAAACATCCTCCAGAAATAGGCCAGCGGCTGTGGGTCTGGCCGCTGAGCTGTCACGCTTAGAGGCTTCTGCGCTGCCACATGATGTGGTCGCCACGATTCAGAGTGTGCGGGCACCCTCTACCGTTGCATCTTATGCTGCTAAATGGGCAGCTTTCCAGAAATGGTGTACGGAGCAAAATGTTCAAGCACTCCTGCCAGCTGGCGGATGTCCTATCGTTTCTGCAGATACTGATGGACAGGGGCCTCGCATTAAGCACTATTAAAACATATGCTGCAGCTATCTCATCCTGTCATCAGGGTTTTGGAGATAGATCTGTTTTCAATCATCCCCTCACAAAACGTTTTCTAAAAGGTGTCAGAAGGAACAGACCTGTGTCCCGCCCGCTATTTCCCCAGTGGGACCTAACGGTGGTTCTGCGTGGCTTATCTGAAGCCCATTTGAACCCTTGGACCAGGTCTCACTCAAGTTCCTGTCACTCAAAACTGCCTTGCTGCTGGCGCTGGCATCAGTCAAGAGGGTGAGCGACCTAACCGCCTTTCCCGCATGCCTCAGGATCCGGGAAGATGGCGGGTCTGCTGTTTCATGCCCCAACCTAGCCTTTGTGCCCAAAAACATTAATGCTTCCTTCAAATCCAGGTCAATTTCATTGGCTGGACTTTTTTCTCCTCCCCATAATTCTGATGAGGAGGTGGCGTCCCACCTTCTCTGCCCGGTGCGCGCGCTCGCACGATATGTGTCACGCACTTCAGGGATTCGCCGCTCACAAAGCCTGTTTGTGCACTACAGAGATTTTTCCCTTGGGCAAGCGCTGTCGACCCAGCGTCTTTCACACTGGCTATGTGACGCCATTTCACTCGCTTACACATCATCAGGGCGGGATCCTCCTGAGACACTCAGGGCTCACTCAGCCAGAGGGATTTCCTCTTCTATGGTGCTCCACAGTGGTGTGTCGATGGAAGTCATTTGTCAGGCTGCTTCATGGGCCTCACCCTGTTCCTTTACTCGTTATTATTCATGAGATGTGTCTTCAGGATCCATCACTCGTTCAGTGCTTGGACCTCAGCGGGCTGAGTGAAGGCATTATGGCACCACATCAGCCTTGCTTGAATGATTTTCAGCCTCTTGTGGATGATATTTTTAGTGGGGCCCCACTCTCCTCTCTGGTTGCTTCAGCCTTTTAAGCCCTGGGCTGCGGCTGAGCGCCCCTCACTAAAAGGAGACATGTTGGGTGTGTCCATTGGTTGAGCTAACCAGTGTAGCGTAAACCCATCCAGCTGCGCATTATTCCAATAGCAGCTAGCTTAAGGGCTAAGACTAGACGAAATAGAACGTTGGTTACGTATTGTAACCCCAGATTCTATGAGTCTAGTCGCAGCCCTTAAGCCACTGGCCCCACTGGTTCTGTTAGGACTAAGAGCCATCGGAGGCGAACAATGGAGTCGCTCCACTTATATACCCACAAGGGGTGCCCACCATTGGTGGGCGTACATTTAAGCTCTTCATGATTGGCTGATGCTGAGATCATCCTTCCAATAGCAGCTCGCTTAAGGGCTGCGAATAGACTCATAGAATCTGGGGTTACAATACGTAACCAATGTTCTTGTGTTTGTAGAATACCTCCAGTCATACTGCAGCCCAAGGCCGTACATTTCTGTGGCTTTGTCTGTCAACATTCATGGACAGCTGAAAGCGCATGGATGGTTGCCTGAATAATGAGGTGAACAAAAGACATCTTTCATGTAGACATTAGTCTGTCATGTTGCAGGTAACAAGATATTAACCATGAGTTATAGACTGACAACACTAATGCTACAAAATATTTTCATGTGATACATAAACATTTTCAGAACGTACCTCTGGCAGAAGCACATCCATCATGAATGCCACTTGATTGTGACATCTGGTTGTCTGTGCTTCAACCAGGCTTGTCAAGAAGCCCATCACTCTGTCCAGCTGCTCATCCTCCTCAAAGAAAATGTCCACCCTGCCCTTTGATGAAGCCCAGGTGGATGACACTTTTCCTGCGATGATTGCCTGTAAATAGAGATATTTTTGGAGGATGCTCAAAGTAAATGTCCAAACACTAGGTTAGCAGAAAATGATTCACTTAAATAATTCATGAGTCATGTTTTGACTGAAATTAGTCACAGTGTGCAAATTTAATTATAAATTTAAAACTCACTTACAGATGTAGCAGTAGGCCTTTATCCTGAGTGATAAATGATATAAGAAGATCACTGCTGACTCTTTGGTCTTCAGCTTGCTGAGCCCTTTCCTAAAATTAGATCAAAAACCTCTTCTGGCACTCACAGAGCACGGTCGCTTCTGCTTTGCTCCCTTATCTGCTTTTTCCCAAGGCTCTTCTTGTCCCGTCTGCCTACAGAGCGCTTCTCTGCATTTCCTCTGGAAATTACTATTTTTCAGAAATGTATTTAATCAATTGGTCATTCAACGCGATTGATAAGATTTTTTCTACGATGAGAACGGAGGAGGGGGCTCGCGCTTGTCCTCACGGGACACATGCAGCGGGATATATGCTCGATTCCTGGAAGAAGTGGAATGTCATCTGTCTCTCTCAGCTGTCCATTGAGGATGTCGAAGATGTGTGGATATTTGGTCTGATGATCACTGGATTTCTTCTGATTGGAATGGGAGGATATCTGGTTTTCCGTAAAATTGGGATGACGGGAGCGATTGGAGGGCGACCCGCATCCATGGACGGCACCGTCCGGGTGGAGACCTCACAGACTGGGACGTTACTCGAGGTGAATTGCAAGCTGGACAATGTCTTAGCTGCGTTACCGGTGTTAGTGCGCAAACTGGATGTCATCTCGGAGAGGGTCACCGGACGGTGTGGAAATGTATAATCACCGAATTGGCTTCACTGGAGGATTTGAATGATCAATACAGACTTTAAGGCAGAGAGGAAAATTATCTCTGCCTGACCCAAACAAGGTTCTGTTATCCAATCTGGCGCCATAAGCAGCCTTGGAGTTGTGTGCAAAAACCCCCACGATGGAAGGAATGCAGACAAATGCTGTGAAAACCCTACCTACCTCCCCGCCTTCAGATTGTGGTCTCTGCACCGAGGTCATCAAGTTGGAGGCACTCACTGTGCTCTGTGCTTTCCCATGACCTCCCTCCTACCTGTGGATTCAGTTGGCCGAGCGCCACACAGGCTGCTCCCGCTGAGGAAATCAGGGTCCCAGCCCCTCCCCCCTACCTAGCGGGTCTCATGTTGTGAACTGTGACGTTCGTGCTTGTATGTTGGGTGTTTTTTTGCATTAACAGAGCTACACCCTGCCGGTGTAGCTCTGTTAATGCCTTTTTCTCCCTCCCCGAACTCTCCTCATGTAATCCCCTCTTCATCTACTGAAATGAGCGCCGTTATGGCTGCTCTCGTGGTCTGCCTGTATCTGTCCTGTCTATATGTGTGTGTTTAATCTTGGTTAGGCTGTATTGTGGAGTCAAGTTCCTATGCTCTGGATCGCTGGAGCGCTGGCAATAAAATTCTTTCTTATTCTGATTCTGATTTAGATGCTGAACAGAATTATTCTGGTTAAGCAGATTAAATAAGATAAGTTGTTTCTTGGTCCTTTGCATGTCCTTACCACAAGCCTGTCGTAAGACATGTCTTTATTCAGGATCCCAACATCTCTGGTTGTGGTGACCACGTTGTGTTGGTCCATGCCGTCATTGTCCTTAATCAAGACACACAAAAACATGACTTCATGCACAGCAGTTAAAATTAATTTTATTTTGTTGTCATGCAATAATCTTCACTCATATTCACCTGCTCTCTGGGTGGAAAGCTGTAAGGTGTATTAAAATACACACGGTCGGTGTCCTGTGTACTCAGAGGAAAGCAAATAATTGTATCAGTTTGTTTTACTGTTATCCAAAGAGGATTGACATTTGCACTTATTATACCACCGCCATTGAAAGTTGACAACATATCAAACTTTCTGCTTTTTAAAATCAACAAATCAACCAAAACACATTGGAAAAGCTAAATACAACAACTGATAATTGTGGGACTGCTGCCATCTCAGAATCATTCCATCCCTGAAAGTGGTGACCTATTTTCAAACAGGCAGGAGTAAGGTCTTCACTGACCATGGTGCTGCTTTCTTGTTTTCTTTTTCTTTTTATCCTGAATACGAAACGTTACCGTCAGACAGAGGTGGAAAGAGTACTAAAATGTCCTACTTAAGTACGAGTACCAATACTTTGATAATTTTTTACTCAATTACGAGTAAAAGTACTTTCCTAAATTTTTACTCAAGTAAAAGTAAAAAGTATCGTAAAAAAATGTACTCAAAGTAAAAGTTACTTAGTTACATTTTTGTCAGCGTAAGGATGGCTACATCTAAGTAGTGCTAAATCACAACGCCAGTTCACAATTCGCTCGTGGGTGCGCGCTCAAACATGCACAGCTTGAAGGAGGGATTTCTATCCAATTAGTGAGAACAGGACGAGCACATTGATTGGACGAGGTTTTTCTACGATTGTTTCAATTGTGATTTAAATTATTCTTTATTTTGAGAAAAAATAATATTTTTAGATGCCATCAGTATGTGAGCTATCTCAGTGTTTTCATGACAAAACTCTAACATGAGACTGTGCTCTAACCTGTCACATAACAAGCCAAATGCAGTCAAACATTTCAGATGGACCGTATGACAGCTGCTAACGTTGGCCCTGCCCTGCTTTACCTCCACATTACAGTTCCTTTATCCGTGTCCATCCTAGAGCTCCTCTCTGACCTTCATGCTTATTTAGAGCAGCTGATTTTTAAAGTTAGTGTTCATCCTTGGTAGTGGGTTCACTCACTCATTTAACCCTTCACCACTGAAACCAGTTTGTTCATTCCAATCCTCCTAAATAATCCTCCAATCATCCAACTGGAATCCTTAAGGGTCCCGTAACGTCCATCCTGTCAGAACAGGCCTTGGGAGCCCAGGTGTTACTAGAACTAACGGTGTCTCCTCACCAGCGTGAGCCTCCAATCTGTGAAGGTTGGACTCCAAACATGAACTTTAAATTCATGCATTAATCTCCTCTTGTAACACTTTAACATGTTTTAAAAGGCTTGCATGATGATAAGTTACACCTCCCAGACCAAAGATAAGATAAAACATTATCGTAGACACTATTAAGACGTCATTATTTATGAAATATAAGTTATTTTCCTTTTCCTGAGCCATTACTTCAGCCAAGATATAAGATGCGTGGATTTGATGAAACCACGCTGTCTCATGCAGTTCTATATGTGTAACACACACACACACACATGCACGCACGCACATGCACACGCAAGCGCGCACAAACACACTGCAGCATGTTAGAATCATTTGAATGACTAATTTAACTACATTGAACTGCTTTTGTAATAATTCAATCTCTTATTCTGGAGTAAAATAAAGAAACAAGCTAAATCATCACATATCTGTGGCATCAAGGAGCAACTTCTGAGTTCAAACACAGGGATGGAGCACAATGTTTACACCTGAACAGTATCAGGATGTTTTAACTCACAGAGGCCTGCAGGTCTTCTGTTTTATGAGCAAAGCGCTGAGAATCCGCTTGTTATGAGCGCTAAACATTATTTTGCCGCTGCCGTGCGGAGCGGTAGAGAAACACGTTTCAAACATGGAACCGAGTCCGGCTACCGAACCGAGCAGAATTCTGATGACGTCACACCGGTGCACGAAGGTGCGGGATCCAACCCACAGGAGAGGAGGGAGAGAGGAGGTAAACAGCGAGTTGAGGAACTGAACTGATGTCTTTGAGCAAAATTGTACCCCCCCCCCCCCCCCCCCCCCCCCCCCCCCACGGTTTAGACGTGGCGCTCATGCAGGTGTCTCTTTCCGTTCCGACGCTGCTACACGTAATATTTTTAATTTATTAAGCCTATAATTATTTGTACTCAGTAACAGATATGATTTAAAATGTAGCGAATTATAATTATTTTTTAAAAACTTACTCAAGTAAAAGTAAAAGTACAGCTTTTAAAAACGACTTAAAAAGTATAAATATACAAAAAAGCTACTCAGTTACAGTAATGTGAGTAAATGTAATTCGTTACTTTCCACCTCTGCCGTCAGACTAATATTTACTGGATGCTATACACGCAACTACTTGTCAAAGAAACTATAATAGATGTAAATGTTGACATGTAAAAATATATCTGAATGGATTTTAAGTCAGTTTTCTGTTACATGTTTTAACAAATTTTACACGGCTGAGCGCGACAATTTTTGGCCTACCACATTGCCGTCATGAGTTTGCTGCTTAGTAGATGAGGAGTCATAAACGGTCAAATAAATAGCCTATAGTTCCGTTAATTTTGGCCAAAAGGTTTGCATGTAGCCCATTAAAAATGATATAAAAAATATTTTGCGTCCATGACGTCTTCCCCCACTGCCAATAATGCTTAATTTTATATAAAAGTGTTTCAGAAAAAAATCACTAATGCGCTATCTATCAAACTATGTCAAACGTTCAAATTTAAAGTAAAGAATCTTCGGAAGTTGTAAAAAATATAAATCTGTCTTTACCTGAACCGTCATTTCCATCTGTTGCAACACGCATGCGAGTTCTCTTGTCTTCGAACATGCAGGCGTCTTTTGTACATAGGGGCGTGTTTTGGAGGGACGTGGTTTGTCGGGGCTGCGTCTGCAGCTAGACCTGACTCGAAAAACAAGACATCAGGTCCAGCGCCGGCGCTCCGCACACGCACACCACGCATAGCGCATAGGGCACCACGCCGGGGGAGGGGCACCAAACGCCAGCGTATGAAAAAATTATATATATATATATATATATATATATATATATATATATATATATATATATATATATGATAAAGACAGATTTCAATTATAAGATGAGCAAAGCAAGTTAACAGCATGTTTACAGAGAGAAAACAATACAAAAAGTAAAGGAGATGGACCGTGTCCACTTTTCACTCTCTGGCGGGGCATCCGGGGGGGTTCTTGTATTGATGAAAATGTCCGGCTTTTCATCTAGGAGAAGGGATCAAATTATGGGGGAGCTGTATATCCTACACATCCAGGGGAGCCGGAAAAAAGTTTTCTACCTATATTACATCATTTATGGACTCTTTTGAGCAGAGAGGCTGCCCCAGAGAAGGTGCGTGCAGTTCTGGAGTGGCTCACTCCCACTTCCAGAAAACAGTTGCAGAGGATTTTAGGCTTTGCTAACTTCTACCGAAGGTTCATTAGGAACTATAGTCAGACTGCAGCTCCCCTCACCCCCCTCACCTCTGTGAAGAGAACTTTTGTTTGGTCCTCTGAAGCTGATGCCGCTTTCCAGGCATTAAAGAGATGCTTCACTGAAGCCCCAGTGCTCCACAGACCAGATCCCCAACTACAATTCACCCTTGAGGTGGATGCCTCTGACACTGGGGTGGGGGCAGTCCTGTCTCAGGTTGCGCCATCTGACCACCGCTTGCATCCCTGCGCATTCTTCTCACGCAGTCTCACGCCGGCTGAGAGCAGATATGATGTTGGAGACCGGGAGTTACTGGCTGTCAAGCTGGCTATCGAGGAGTGGAGACACTGGCTGGAGGGAGCGGAAAAGCCGTTTGTCATTTGGACGGACCACAAGAACCTTGTGTACCTGCGGGAGGCAAAGAGACTCAACCCCAGACAGTATCGGTGGTCCCTCTTTTTCTCTCGTTTTAACTTTGTGATTTCTTATTGACCAGGGTACAAGAACTCTAAACCGGATGCCCTTTCTCGGCAGTTCGCCCCCGATCAGGAGACTGAACCCGCCACCATCCTGCCTCCTGAGTGTGTCGTTGGTGGAGTGACTTGGGAGATCAGGGACCAAGTGCTTCAGGCCCAACGAACTGATCCAGACCCTGGGAATGGACCCCCGAACAGACTCTTTGTGCCGCAGGGCATGTGTGGTAAGGTAATCCATTGGGGCCATACAGGGCGGTTCGCCATCCATCCCGGAGTAGGACGCACAGTGGCGCTCCTGCTGAGAACTTTTTGGTGGCCTACATTGTACCAGGACGTTACGAGTTATGTGTCTGGTTGTCACATTTGTGCCCAACAGAAGGGGGATAACAGAACGCCTGCAGGTCTTTAAAATCCCCTACCCACGCCCTCACGGCCGTGGTCTCACATAGCACTGGACTTTGTTTGTGGTTTACCTATCTCTCATGGTTTTAACACTGTTCTCACTGTTGTTGATAGGTTTTCAAAAGCATGTCACCTCGTTCCTTTAAAATCTCTTCCTTCTGCCGCCGTTACCGCACAGTTACTCGTGAAACATGTTTCGTCTCCACGGCATTCCGGAGGAGATTTTGTCAGACCGAGGTCCCCAGTTTGTGGCACGGGTCTGGAAAGACTTTGCTGAGACTCTGGGGGCTCGTGTCGCGCTCACATCTGGCCACCATCCACAGACTAACGGCCAGTGTGAGCGCATGAATCAAGAACTGGGGACAATGCTTCGCTGTGTGTGCTCCACCCATCCTACTACATGGAGCTCTCATCTCGCCTGGGTGGAGTACGCGCATAACAGCCACACATCCACAGCCACAGGTCAGTCACCATTTGAAGCATCTTTAGGGTACCAGCCCTCTCTGTTTCCTCTACAGTCTTCCACAGCTATTTCAGTGCCGCAGTTCCTCAGTGGTGCCAGACGTCCATGGGTTTCTACCCGGGTAGCGCTGGGAAGGACGGCGAGCAGGAATAAGCAGCTGGCTGATCGCCGGCGGCGACCAGCGCCTGCTTACACCCCAGGTCAACGGGTTTGGCTGTCCTCTAAAGACATTCCCCTGAAGGCAGCCAACCGCAAGCTCACCCCTCTATTTCTGGGACCATTTGAGATACTGGATGTACCAACCCCTTCCACCGTGCGTCTGGACCTTCCACAGACTCTAAAGGTACATCCAGTATTCCATGTGTCGTTGGTGAAACCTCTAGGCTCCAGTCCGCTGTGCCCGGTTCCTGCACCTCCCCCTCCGGCTAGGCTCTACAGGGGAGGTTTGGTGTACACGGTCAACCGGATTCTGGACTCCCGGCCCCGTGGGAGGGGCATGCAGTATCTGGTTGACTGGAAGGGATATGGACCGGAGGAACGTTCGTGGGTTCCTCGCTCCTTCATCGAAGACCCTTCCCTCATCCGGGAGTATGAAGAGTCTGTTAGGACGCCGGGGGGCGTCCGTTGAGGGGGGGGGGGGGGTACTCCTTTTCTCTTAACCATCTGTAAGTCTCTTGCCAGGAGAGGGAGTGGCCCAGCTGTTCCTGATCAGCAATCAGTGGGGTGTTTTCCTTTTTAAGGTGGATGGAGGACACAATTTGACGCCGGAAGATTGCCTCAGTTTTGGTAGTAACCAGCCACTCAAGTTATCTCTAGTATTTCTAGGATTAATATTATTCGTAGTGTTTTTGCTCTTCGTATATTTGGATTTTTACCCTTCTTCAGGATTCCTGTCGGTCTCATTGGATACTTGCCTCTACTCCAGGATTTGGATATTCAGCACGCGGACCATATCACCAACCTCCATAACCCACCTCTCATCTCAACCCAGTGCCCCATCCACCAGGACGCCCCGCTTCTCTCCACCTATGCTCCCTCTCCTGCGCTTCCCCCCAGCTCTCTACCTCTCCCTCCTCCAGCCAACATATACACGCCCCACAGTAAGTTCTGCTGAACACCTCTGCCAACAATGGACTTTTGAATCAGAAACTATGCTCACCTGTGTTCTCCCTCCTCCAGACGCTGAGCTGTCGTAGCAGTTCCAACCACAGACTAATCTGTGCATCCTAAGTTCCTCCTTTATAAATAAATCATTTTACCATCTGTTTTTGGTCTGTGTTGCATTCTGCATGTCTTGGGTTAGGTACCTTCCTCCAAACATGACAGTATGATGGCCTGTGTAAGGAAAAATAATGTTTAATCACACGTATTCATGTTTATGGTTAATCATCAGTATGCTTTAATCATCAGTATGCTTTGTGAAAATAAGGTTTGATCACACATGTATTTATATGCTTATAATTAATAACCTGTATGTTAATCCCCATATTAATCATTTCAGTGTTCGGGTGTTACTCACGTCCCTTTGAACTGAACGATGCATATACCAAATGGATGACTCACCTGTGACTGGTACGTTCTAGCACTGAGTTAGACCTATATCTGATTTATGCAGGCTGATACTGCTAGAAGTTTCAGCTTGTGCTGAAGGAGATTCTCAACAGGCGAAGGCCAGGTGCAGACTAGACCATCTAAAAGCTGTTCAACGGGAAAAAGCCAGGGCGTAGGTCATCGCAGCCTTAGCAAAGGAAGATAGGGTAGGAAGCAGATGGGGCAATGTGTCTCCCATCTTATCTGGAGGAGGGAGTGAAAGCAGAGAGGGGTGTCAGTTACCATGGCAACAGGTGATGGCCTTCAATAAAGTTAGGGAGGGGTCAACATGAAACTTTGCAGCATGAGAGGAAGAATCAAAAGGTGTACATCTTGTAAAATATTCAGATTTGTCACAGGGGCTGGGGCGGCAGAATCTCTCCTAATGCATGTGGAAAATAAAGTGTGATGATTGCAACATAAGGCAACTTGTGGCTTACTTCTTGTCCCACGCCCTGGTTGTAACTGCCTTCTATAATTTTGTACATAACTGTAACAGAAATGTTGTGACTGTATCTTTTGCTGCCTCTTGGCCAGGGCTCCCTCAAAACTGAGAACTTTAATCTCAATGGAACCTTCCAGGTTAAATAAAGAATATAAAAATAAGTAAATAAAATGTATTTAGATA